TTCTTGTTCCTAGTAGTAAGGCACTTGTTACTACTAGCTTCTTGTTCACTAGTAGTAAGGCACTTGTTACTACTAGCTTCTTGTTCCTAGTAGTAAGGCACTTGTTACTACTAGCTTCTTGTTCACTAGTAGTAAGGCACTTGTTACTACTAGCTTCTTGTTCACTAGTAGTAAGGCACTTGTTACTACTAGCTTCTTGTTCCTAGTAGTAAGGCACTCTTTACTACTAGCTTCTTGTTCACTAGTAGTAAGGCACTTGTTACTACTAGCTTCTTGTTCACTAGTAGTAAGGCACCTGTTACTACTAGCGTGGCACTTGTTACTACCTAAGCTAAAGCTTATCAAACTGTCCAAGGTTCCTCCATGGACCAAACTTCACCTGCTGGGCATGAACTGCTCCGGTCCTTTGGCCGATATGTGCCGAAGTCGCAGGTGGCACCGCTGCAAGGAGTCATCTCCTTGGTGTCGGAGCTCCGTTCGCGTCTGATCGCTCCGTTCGTAAGGCCAGGAGCCCCTAGTAGTCGGTGCCAACACGTGCATCCTTTTTTTGAGCAGAGCACAAATGGGTCTCCTTAGGTCTGAAGAAATGGATCTGCACCATCCACCATCAATAGACTATAGACTATAGTTAGTGATTAGTGACAAAGGACGTTCAACCCCCAACCGAATGCAAAGCGCCTGTGTGACATCTTGTACGACACTCTTGCACAATCCTCTTCCCGGATGCTCCTGTGGGACAATGTTGCTTCACACTAGTAGGTAGGAGGCCATTGCAATTAGGTTGGAGGCCATCGCTAGGGTTGCTTGACACTCTTGCGTGGGATTCTTGCTGCTCTTGATCGACATTGGGCCCAGGAGCTTGTACAGTGAGATGGGAAACAAACGTAGAAACTCGCCTGCGAGTTGTGAAACCAAAATCATTACACCACATACCCCAACTATAGTGTTTAAGTTAGTTCATGCCTCCAAACACTCCGCACTTTCAATGCAACTGGGCTTCAGTAGAGCTCCACTGAATGTTCCTCTTGAAGTCCAATCCCTCCTGATAGGACCATTCTGGACCAAAATTGCGACGAAACGTCCACTAGGCACACTGAGTGGTGCCCTCCCCAAAAAAGGATGCAAAAGGCATCGAAATTAAGTTTCCCTCAACATCTAGGATCCAAATCGCTTCTAGGTTGGAGGCCATTCCTATTAGGTGGAGGCCATCGCTAGTAGGTTGGAGGCCATTCCCATTAGTGCGAGCGCTTCTTCAAGGAAGCTGCCCCCCGCCCTCAGCAAGGGAGCTTCCTTGAAGAAGCGTGAGCTATCCGGCGTCGTACCTAGAAGCTAACTTAGCCTTGTAGCTTACTCCCTTACTTGCAGTAACTATCAAGTAGGAGGGGCGTTCAAAAAGAGGATCCAAAAGGCATCAATTTTTGGCTTTGTGACTTCGTCCATCTTCGTCCTCAGTCCGGAAGGCCAACTGGACAAAGGCCTCTGCTGGCGCACCTGTCACCTGAGGCGCATCTTCGTGCCAGGTAGTTGCTTTGACCACCGAAGGTGGTTCGCAAAATGCCAAATTCCAGATTTCTATCAACTTTGTTTCAATGACCACTGAACTGACGACTGATCATCACGACCTGTAGTAACTAAGAAGCTACTAGGAGCATTTCGGGCATCGCTACGAACGGAACAAGGTTCGCTACTAGCTTGGAGGCCATTGCTAGGTAACTCCTCACACTCATAACAAGGGCACTACTAGGAACAAGAATGCTATTAGGAACAAGTGCATCGCTTCTAGTACCAAGTGCCTTACTAGTAGTAACAATGTTTGCTATTAGAAACAAGTGCCACGCTAGTAGTAACAGGCGCCTTACTAGTAGTAACAATGTTTGCTATTAGAAACAAGTGCCACGC